TTCATAGGGCGATGGATTGCTATCTGTCAAGATGACCACCGGCATATCCCGGCATGACGAATTCCTTTCTCGAAGCGCCATTACAAAGATATCCAGATTTTCAGGAAATTGGTTCGAACAATTGCATATCAAAACGTGATTTCTCACTTCTTCGATACCGCTATCGACTGGCTTATCCCAATATGCCTTTGCCTTCTCGATGTTCTTACGTAAAACTTCTGATCGTTCTGTATCGGATTTTGGAAGCATGCTTATGCATTCTGACTCGTCTCTTATATTCGATGGCTCATCTTCACCGGGAACTTGAGTGGAGGGTGGAGATGTTGATATGACCATTGTAGAATAATCATCATTTGTTCCATTTCTTTCAAGATCACTATTAACTTTATCAACTTTCTCATCCTTTTTATTTAGTTGGAAGAAACTCTTAGTTGAACGGAGAAATTGCATTCCCCCATACGGATCAAACCGTTTATTTTTTTTATGATTAAATTTTGCCACCTTGGAGGCTATTCTAGCGTTGTCAGAAATGACGAAACCGATTTCATTTCCCTTGATCACGTAATCCTGAGGATTTAAATAAACTTGAATACGAGAAGAATTGTTTTTAACGAATGTCGAGGAAGTCTTTTCACTTGTCTTGCATGCCCCAATGGAGAAAAGAACCGCGTCCAAGTGCACATAAATAAGCTCGGAACATTCCAAGAATGTTTTTCCCTCGAATTCAGAAAGTTCAACTGCATATATTTCCTGTTGCATGCCACGAATATATTCGGTTGCCCACTTTAATTCTAAAATTCATAAGTATTAAGTATCAGCTCTCTTTTACGGATATACATAGCACTAATTAATACCTGGTTTTTGTCTTATTGCGTTATGGGATAATTCATTCGCGACTCTATCAGTAACGGAAGTGGTAAGCAATACAACAAGTGAGGCAAATCCGGGAGTGACCAAACTTTGAGCCATAAGACCCATGGATAATTCGTCTATACATATCACATCCTCAGCTAAAATTCGTATTGGTGATTAAAAGCTCTGTTCGGAAGAACGAACCAATTTTGAATTATAGGCAAATGAACTTACCCAAGAAATCGAAATGAGATATATTTTCAGGTAAGTGAACTTGAACATATAATGGTAAATCATTATTGTATTTCTTCAATGCCTAATGAGAAAAAAAAACCTAAGTAACTACTCTTAATGGCAATATGGTTTAGCACAAAATTTCTGAATTTATGATGATACCAACCAAAGCTCTCATGAGCTGTGCCGCATCAATTTCGTCATCATTCTTGGTAAATTTGGGAGCCAGTAAAAATGCCGCGCTAGCGGATTCCGCTTTGGCTTTCACAAGACTTCGACGAAAAGCAGAGGATCTGAAAATTTTTAAACACGAGTTTAAAGGATGAAACGTATCTCAACGGAATTCGTGTGTAATTATTATTACCCTTTGACATATTGAACCCTGTTCACGAACGCCGGGTCTTCAA